ATTGGGTACCTTGGTGAAGGTCTCAAAAGGGGTTTCAAAAGGAAGGGAATACCATGTCGTGAATCTCTTGTGGTCATGCCCTTGCAATAATCCAATCATGACTCTTTGCCTCGGGTGTTCCCTTTGCCTCAGAGAGTGCGCCACTTCCCCAAAGACCGAATCTAAGTTGTATTCGATGAGATGTCACATCTACCTAATTAATGATCGGGACACTTGACGCACAACATGCGACCCTTCGTGCAAATGCAGTCAACACAATTGCAAGTAGGCACAATTGTCGCAAACCACATTTACTCTTGTACGAGAAATCTTTTGCCTAAAAGATGGTCTCAGCAGTAAATAGACAATTCAAGTCCTTTCATCCTATTCATTTATTCTACTCTTTGTTTTGAGACAATGGCATTAGACACGTGTATCAACCTATCATTTAAGTCTTCACCTACGCAACCAACAAATAAAAGGTAATTGCCTAGTTTATTCCCTATTAAATGAGGATGTTATGAGGGTGGATTGGGTAAAAACATACCTTTGATGTTATTTGAATACAATGGCTATCCTTAAACTCATCATCACAAGTTTGCGGTTTTACCTCAACGATTTAATCATTTCATCAGGCAATAAGCATTTAAATTTCTACTCTACTTGACGGCTTTGTCTTAACCATGAGAGGTAGGTTGCACGTATCCTTCTCTGTCATTATGATCAAACAACTATCACTTCAAATTGCACATAGTTTTGTAACAAGAGGGTTACACTATGAATGAAGTAAGAAGTTCATGCAAACATTTGTTGTTATCAGCAATCAAGTAAGTGAACTATACCCGCATTGCTAATGTAGTGGTTAATTTTGTTGCAATGAAGGTGTCTAGAACCCAAAGATAATGGGTTTAATTTGTTTGTCTGTAGTAAAGGCCAAACCATATATTTCATTCATCATGTTCTTTGTAAGGACTTTGCCTGTTTGTGCCTGTCATTTTTCTTGTTTGGTACTCTGTTGATCTCTAATTTAAGATCTGACTTCTGTGCTTCTGCAATAAAATCTTTCAGGTTGTTTGCTAACCAGACACCTGTCAACCAAACATCTATAGTACATATCGGTTCTTCCGCAAGCCAAGCCACTATGTCTTGATCATCCCAAGGAGATTCGTCAAAGTTTTGACAGAGATCCCATTTTTTCTGTTGTGATCAGATTCTCCAACTAACTTGTTCACAACAAATTCATTTACTTTTCTCCCAACCTCCGGAGTGTTGAATAATTATTTCACATGAAAGAAAAATACGAAAAAAAGAAAGGATTGCCCCTATATGTGTCAAAGCATCACTTGTACTGCTATGTTAAAGAATCCAATCGTTATGTTCAAATGGGATGAAAACCTTGACTAAGCAATTAAAGTGAAAAGAGAGACATTATCGTGGCAGTATGGAACTAAATTAAATTAAACATACCAGCAATTTGCATTCTGGGCATGTTTAAGACATTGGGTTGAAGCTGACTTCCCACATTTAACCCTGAATTCAAGAAACTAATAATATATATCATACCAAAAGAAGGCATCCCCTGCTACCATTTTTATTATTATTTATTTAGGGAAGGGAACAGGAAAGAAGTCTTGTATCTGAATACATGCTCATCACCATGTGCTTCGCAAAGAGAATAGTACATGGTCCTGTTTTTCTTTTTCTATTTCACGAGACATGAGGAAACAAGATACAATTTTTCCCCTTTTTCAGTATAAAAATCACAATCACAGACCCGGGGAGGGAGAGAATCAGAGATCAAACCCGCGATCAACTGCAGGTTGAGATGTTCTCAATCTCACTAGGGCCCCTTACCTATATGCATCTACATACATGTATTGGTGCGTCTGTGTCTATATATATATATATATATATATATATATAATGAGAGAGAGAGAGACCTGTGAGCATATTTTCCTTTTATTTCTGGCTGTGACTCCTCCCTCCTGCTACTCAGAATAGGATCCAGGCATGCAAATGTCTGCAGAAGAGAGAGAGAGAGTGAATGACTGCTTCCAAAGTTCCATCGGCCAACCAGAATGTACAAACCAAAACGATGTCGTTTGGATTTTGGAAGAGACCAGACAAAAGCCCAATTATATAGCCAGCAGCCCTTTTGATGGGCAGGCTACTCATAGGCCTCATTGTAAATTTGGGCTAATCCAAGAAGCCCATAATTTGATACAGCGTTTGTAGTTAAAAAGTTGAATTTCTCGATTTATAAAAATAGAAAAAGGGTCAAAATTGATCTAATTTTTTCTACTTTGATCCAATTATACAAAATTTATTCTCAAATTTATTTTTCAATTCCAAAACATCTTTTTCATTGCATAACCTTCGATGCTAGGCAATCCTACTAGTTTACGTATAGACCTTCTTGTCTCTCTGGTGCCTCTCTTATTATACATGTTGATTTAATTTTATATTGTATGATTATAAAAATAAATAAATTTAAAATTTTACACAACTTATATTTAATTTTTAATATTATAAAGGATCTACAGACACAATGTATATATGTTATCAGAACCGGACCAAACCGTCCGGTCCAACCGGTAAACCGGATCTTAATCAGGCCGGTTATGTTGTTAGATCGTTTAGACAAGTGAACCGTTATTGACCGGTAAAACCGGCCGGTTTTTATGAAAACCATCAAACCGGGCGATTTTGAAGAACTGTGCGGGTTTATGCTGGGTCGAAAAAATACCCAAATTTGACCTAAATCGTCACTCTTCTCCTTCCTCATTCACAGAGCGATGGCTCTCCACTGCAGTCTCCAGCCAAAGACCCAGTCGGTCAGTCGATTCAATTCTTCTTTCTCTCTCTCTCTGACTATCCAGTCGATCCAGCCAAAGCACACCGCCACTGCTCGATCGTCGCCAGCTAGCCCAGCGCCACCCTATTCGCTCCCGTCTGCTGCCAGATCTAAATCACTCGGGAGTTGAAGATCAGAGATCAAAGTTCGAATCTATTTTTGGTTCAGTGAACAAGGTTTCCAATTGTCAAAGAGTTTACATCCACCGACTCGAATTCATACCTAAGCATTTTATGAAAGATTCATTTGATGAATGTGGAAAATTTCTTGGGAAGATCAAGAACGCTGAAGTGGTTTCATTATGAAGAGTTGTTGAGTTAATTTTTTATTGTTAAATGCTTTTGTTAGATCCATCTGATATTGATCTTTGACCGATGAAAAATTGATTGAAATCAATATATATATATATATATATATGTATTTTAATATTTTATAATTTTTTTATTATATAATAATTCTGGCCAATTAAACTAATAAACTATTCATCCGACCTTCCTATCAATTCTATTTTTGATTTGGTCCCGATAACATTGGCATATGTATATATATATATATATATATATATATATATATATATATATATAAATTTAATAAATAGCAATGATAGTATTGGTAGATGCCTGGATGGTGGTGGATTTTGAGAATTAATCTCGTGGGCGGTTGGACAAGGACAACCAATTGATGATGATGATGATGATCACTCCTCCATTAAAAGGCAAGATTATTTAATTGGGGCCCACACGCTAAAAGAAAAAAAGAAGATAGGATTAGATCATGACAGCACCTTTCTCTCCATCACCAACCAGGAGGATTCCAAAACGCACCCGCCCAGTGGTTTCCTATCTGGCACACAATTTAAAGAGTTTAATATCATTGGTTGTGTTTGATGGGGACACCATTTTATCCAACAAAAATAGATTATTTTTACTCAAGAATGCCAGTAAGTAAACCAAAAAAAACATTAAGAATGATAAATTTCATCAAAAAAAAAATATTATATGATATGGTATCGATTTTTTTTTTGGTATTTTAGTCAAACCCCACTTTTAGTTTGATATAATTTTTAATTTTTTTTTAATTTTATTTTTAATATGTATAAACATTTACAACAAGCTTCTTTAGTCCAATTATCGTGTTCTAGTATAAAAAAGATAAACACAATACAAAATTTATGGAGTAAACTATAATAAATAACGTGGATTTTTCTATTTTAAAAAAAAATTGAACGGAATTGATCACATTGTTCTGATTTAATTTACATAATTGGAGAATTATACTAAAACAAGTCAAATTTAAGGATCAATTTTAGAATTGGGGTATAATTTGGGAGGAATCTATGATATCCACTCATAATTTAACTGTTGAACACAATACATATGGATAATGATGCGAGAGGTTTAGGTAGGATAGAATTAATTTTAGATGAGATAATAACAAAATATATAATATTTTATGATTTTACAGAGAATATGACTCTTAATGTGACATAATAGAGAAACGAAATTAATATAATCAATCTCAAATGTTGGGATAATAATTTTGTTGATTTTGGCATAATTGCAATTGGAATATGTGCATGCCATGGATCTGATTTATGCATTTGAATATCTATTTTAGGAACCTTTGTAATTAAGTATACATCCAAGGTTCCACTAGTTTTTTTTTTTTTTTGTATTACGGTCAAGAGTATTTGAATTAGTTACGCGCATCTCAATGGTTTCGTCTCTGGTACAGTAAAAGAAAAAAATGCTCAAAAACAAGATTTCAGCCTTCTAAATCAGCTATGCGCATCTCAACAATTTCAGCTATGCGCACCTCAACGATTTTCCTTCCCGATACGATCAAAAACAAGATTCTAGCCATATGAATTAGTTAAGCGCATCTCAATGATTTTTTTTTCTAATACGGTCAAAAACAAGATTTTAGCAGAGATTATAGAATTCACGAGATGTAAATCTCTTATGCCTTGACCCCAAAAATATTGTCAAGGTTAAAATTCAAAATGTCTGGGATTATAAGTCATCCCTATCTCGTTGGGCTATCCTTGAGTTTGAAGATTCCACTACTCATCAAACTGCAGTGTATAACCCAAAGGTTGGATGACTAATAAACCTACAAGAGCCTGCTTGTTAGCAGCAACCATGAGTATGTATTATATATATTTGAACTGCCATTCAAGAATATAAGAAACCAGAAGACTAGATAACACATACTTAAAGCCAACCAATAGACTGATAAATATAACAAGAGTGTTGCATTAGAAATCATCCATCATTGGAAATTGCTTTCAAAATCAAGTAACAATTTAAGAAGTATTCAGTGGAATACAACAAATAGAAAGAATAATGTCTTAGAGCCCTATCTTACAGTTAATATTACACACTTCTAATGCCATCTTCTGCCCCTTCAGCATGAAAAGAATCACTACACATGGAATCAAGTCCCAGATCATAGCCATTCTAAGCAAAATGAGTCAACTCCACCTTCTTAAGTAGTCATTCTTCCTACACAAATCCTTTGTGATCTAACTTGACTGCGTGTCATGTTCTTTTTCGTTTTCCTTACTACTCCTACCAACATATATATTGAATATCAATAAGAATCTCAAAGAATATGAATCTAGTGGATATAATCGCAGAGCAGAAGTATGGCTGAGAAGTTGCTTATGCCACCATCTGCTCCTGCTCTATGTACAACTGCTCGACCCACTGTGGGAGCATCTCATGAACCCCCACATGCTTCTGTTCTGAGTGGTATAAGCCAGCCCCCACGGAGGGAACATCTTTCACCAGTGAATGGACCCAAGACACATCTGGTTCATCAACATTTGGAGTAACTGCAGTTCTTGCAGCATTGCTGCTTCGGAATCCAAAAGAGGCAGACTTTTTTAGCTTATTCTGCTCTTCACCATTGAAGCCCCAGTCCAGTTTACCATTAGGTGAGCTCCAATCCGAAAGATTAGACGACATCAAATTCGCAGTATTGGTAGTTGGTGTAAAGCCGGCTCTGTGGTTCATGGCTCCTCGGTCTATAAAGCTCTGGCTGCGTTTTGCAAAAGCAGCAGACCTCGAATTCATGACAGCTGCTGCCACTGCTGCAGAGGAGTCAAACCCGAATGTAGAAGGTTTTCTAACGGGAGAGGAGGAAAGGTTTGCAGGATAGCTTGCTCGAAGTTGGTTCATGTTCTGGCGAATCTGAAGCCCAGTTGGAGATTGCAACTGGGTGGCTGATGTTGTAACTCTGGGTGAGAGGCCCTGCATTTGAGACAGTAAGGATGGATCAAGAGATCCAAAAACATCATCAAGGTTAGTAGCCTTCAATTCCCCCATCCTACTGTAGTCCTTATTCCAGGAGGACGGGGATGAAAGACTAGACAGCTCATCGATCAATTGTTGCCTGTGTTGCTGCTGGGTGCGCATACTTTCCAACCCTAGCAATTCCATTTCCAACTCCAAATCTCTAGCATTCAGAGATGTCTTCAGCCGGCTACCAGGAAGTTGCAATGTTGGTGGTGTGAGGTTAACCTTGTTCTGCCACATGGATCCACTCATAGGAGAGGAACAGGCTGAAGAGGGAGACATGGGTGGCGTTGAAGTAGTAGGTAACAACAAAGACGATGAACTGAGTGCCAATGGGCTCATCGTTGACAGGTCCATCAAACTTACTGGAACAGACTTAGGTGAAGGCATAGCTGAACCCGTGGAAGCATACAAGGGACGCAACTCTTCGGGCTTGTGTGCAAAGAAACACACTTTTCGTGAGCACCCAGTCTCGTCCTTGCATAGCCGGGTTCTGTACTGTGCTGGATGTAGCCAGGACTCGAACACACCATGAGCATACTCACAAGAATCCCCCTTTCCGCAAGCCCCCTTCTTGAACTCTGGGCATGGGACACAACTGTAGTGGTACTTCCTTGGATCACGTCTCCTTGCGTTCTCCCCCGGATGGACAAAAGGGCATTCTGTCCAGTCATGGGAATATGCCCTCGAGCAAGGCTTCACCTTGAAACTATACATCCTGAACTCATCTGTCCCATAAATACCATTGTTTATATCAGGCAATGATACATCAAGTGGATATTCTTTCTTCTCAGACCCGTCTTTCGACAACTGAGACATAGGATTTTGCTTTTCTTCCTCTTTATCAAAGGCCTCGCTAATGGAAACCAATGACAAACCTCCTTCACCAGCAACAATACCACCGTTCAACAACATGTCCAGGGTCTTCCTTTTTGAATTGCTCAAAGACTTTACAGAATGAGCAATCAAGTCACCGGGTTTGTTTCCACTGGCATCAACGGAATTAACATCCCCGGATGCTTCAAGCAAGAGCATGACAACCTCTACCGATGAAGCAGAGCCACCAGCTGCCGCGCAGTGAAGAGCAGTTGCCCCATCTGAACCACAAGCCCTGTTGACATCAACCTTTCCAGTTCCAATAATATACTTCAAGACCTCAGTGCTTCCATACATAGAAGCAATCAGAAGGGGAGTTCTCTCCTCAAACCTCATCTTCTTTGACCCAATTCTTCTACCGTACCAATTACTCACCTCATCTACATCAAATCCGTTCACTTCTACATCACAGACGAAACCAGCAAGATCATCTGAAGCAGACAATTCAAGCAAACTCGAGCACTTCTTTTTAAAAATTCCATCTCTCTGCTTGTGAAATTCACCCTCCATGACTAGATCAAAAGGGCAAAGATACTCTTTGAATCACTTCTCACGAAACCCTACAAGAAGATATGAGGAAAAACATCAGATATGCCACTCAATTCAACCCATGGAACCACATACCACAAAAAAGAAACCGACACATACATAACTAAATACATCACAAATTCAAAAGCAGGGTTTTCAGGGTCATTATTGTTTGGAAAATTTTAACAAATAACTAATATGCATCTTCTTCATTATTATAATTTTCTAACCATCTTTACCAAAAATTATCGACTTATGAAGTTATGGGTTTTCTTTTAACTTTTCTAGAAACCATTTTTTCATTTGTGTGTGCGGGTGCGGGTGCGGGTGCGGGTGCGGGTGTGGGTGGGGGGGTTGGATGTGCAAAATCTCTAGACACATTCAGCAATCAGCAACAAAAAACATTACCACGAAGAATTGGTCTATTCAACCAAAACCCATTTCAAACATTCTAATTTGGAACAAAATATCCATTCAAAAACCCATGAAATACAAAAGAAATTGTAAAAGAAACATAAAAGCTAATTTTCTCTGGTAAAAATTACCTTATCGGAGCTATTTCTGAGGTAGATTATAGTCCTCGGAGAAACATGGATCGAAAAGGCCTCAATGATCGACTACGAGAGAAAGCAAGAGCTGTGAAATTGTGATGAAGGATTCAATGGGTGCCTGGCTGGTTTATATAGTTCAAAGAACACGGGCAGAGGAAGAAGGAAGGAAGGTGTGACTTTTCTTCCTCCTATGTTTCTTCTCTCTTCTTCTTGGTCAAAAGTCAAATATTCAAAGATAGAGGGGTCCACTACACACCACTTCCATGTCTTACTGGTTCCCACTTAAATGCAAACTCACATGAAATGCAAATTCAATTGCAGATGTAAATGTAATGCAAATGCAAATGCAAATACAAAAAATCGTAAACTTTGATTCCACGTGGACCCCACCAGCATTTGTCTAATATATCTTAACTTCTTTACCGGTTTAACCGCCACGTGTGAGTGTCAGTGTACTAAAGTCTTTTACTTATCCCACGCGCATTGACCAAGTAATTTTTTTATTTTTATTTTTTAGGCATTTGAATTCGGTTATTTTTTTATTTTACCAGCTCGAGCGAGCAGTTGGTATATTCAATACATACTGAAGATCATACGACCTGATTAGAGTTTTTTTTTCTTTTGATAGGTAATGATTTTTTACACAACAGGGAGAGGGAGGGGAACATACAGTTTCATTACGAAAGACTTTAATTTTTCAGAATTTGAATAGGACTTCAGTCTTCACCTGATTAGAGATTAGGGAGTCCAGTAAGATAAAATTTAACCCACGTGTCTAGAATTCATATATGTATGTATATATATATATATATATATTAGGAATAATTCGTATTTGAAGGCATGGTACAACATGAGTAAGAAGCGATAAATTTAAAGGAGGAGAATTCAATGTGAATAGTTTTGAGAAATATATTGGTGACTATTGCATAATTTTATTTGATGCCGTCAAATAGACTTATTTAAAACCGTCAGATGAACTTATTGAAGTCTATACTATTTTATATTATAAATTATATATATATATATAAGACGACATAAGTTAATAAACTTATATATTGTTGGCGATAATCCTTATTATTATATTATTATTTTGTTAATTTTAAACTAAACGTTTGAACTACTTATTAAATAAATTGGATTATATATAGATATAGATATATAGAGATAGATATATAGGATGTCATATGTTAATGATCTTATATTTTATTAGAATTAAGAATGTAATAAAGTCATGTAGAAATGTAGATTAATTTAGGATTGTCGGATCAATAATATTAAGTCGATTTAAACCGCAAAAAATTCAAGACAAACCAAACTAATTTACATTCATACATAACTTTACTAATCTACGTTCCTACAGGATTTTACGATTTGTCTTGAGTTTTTTACGATTTAAATCGATTTAATATTATTGATCTGATGATCCTAAATTAATTTACATTCCTACAGGACTTTACTGCATTCTTCATTGACTTCAATTTATATATATATATATATATATATATATATATATATATATATATATATATATTAAAATTTTAAATTGTGCTTAAGTTCATAATATATTATAATTAGTAATAATCATATTTTTTAAGATGCTCTATAATACTAAAAATTAAACATTGGTTGTATAATATTTATATTTTAAATAATAATTTATATTTTTTCTTTAATTACAAACTTTAATATTAAAGTGAATATAAAGAAAAGAAAACAAAAGAAGATAGAGAAAAGAGAAGGAGATGTGAAATAGTGGAGTTGTCTGTTGGTTAAATTAAATATTTTTTAATAAAATAAATTTTATATCATTAAATCAAAATGAATAAAAATTAAATAAATACTTTTTTATTTTATATAAAATTCTCACACATATAATACATAAATAATCAGACCTAAACATTAAACAAAGAGTAGTAATTGCGGAAGTTCCCCCCGCGGGCGACTCATCCGAAGCTATCTGGCTATTGATAGTTGTAACAGACAATGGATGAGCGAGTGAGAGGCGGTTGGGATGGAGAGGCAAGGTAAACCGGTTGAATATTCCAGCCAGTCTGACGATTGACGCGTTCTTTCTGGGATTATTGGGTTGAGGGTGAGGGTGGGGGTGGGGGTGGGGGTGGCGGAAAGATAGGTAATATAATAATTGTCCTTGGCATCATCATCGTCAGCTCCCACTACCGGTATTTGGGGTTTGCCCCCTCCCTATTTGCCACGTGTTGAATGCTTTTTTTTTTTGTTCTTTTGTTTTCTCAAGCCAAATCCTTGGCTACTATTAAAACACACACACAAAGAATGCCCCACTAGTTAGTTTCTTGATCATTCTTGATTTTAAATCTGTTAAAATTTTGATACTTGAATTAATAGTTAAGTCATGTATTGATGATAATTTTGAGATTATTCTTTGATTATTACTAATAATTGTCCGTACCTAAAGATATGGTGTAATGAAAAATTAAATTAAAATTTAAAAAATATTACATTACTTAAAAGACACTTTTAGATGAAGCACAAACCAAATCCTTGACTGCTTTTAAAACACGCACACAAAGAATGCACCATTGGTTAGTTTCTTGACCATTCTTAATTTTAAATTTGTTAAAATTTCGATACTTGGTATAACATTTAATTCATGTATTGATGATAATTTTGAGATTATTCTTTGATTATTATTGTTTATTCAGTTATTTCTTGGAGAACAATAGACATTGAAAGTCCCTCCCATAAATTTGTGTTATATCTATTAAAAGAGTCTATCTAAACCAAAGCATCAAACAAATCATTTTGGTAGGCAAATGTGTTGAATATTGAAGGTGAAAGTTGTCTCAAGGTATGATGTGACAAACGAAGTCGATAATTTGAAGGAAAAAAATAACATTACTAAGAGTAAAGGGATACACATAATTCATTTAGGAGGCCAAATAAATTTCTTGGTGCAAAAAAAAAAATTGCAAATCTCCTCTAAAAGTTATGAAAATGTCAACTTGTATACACAAATTTACATACTTTCTAATCGAAACCTAAAAGTTTCTAAAAAAAGCAAATCCTAATACATTAAAAAAAAATCAAAGAGATGCCAAAATATTACAACTAATAGTTCATTTCTGTTGCCAAGGAACGCAAGAAACAAAGCAATATCATTGACCTAACACAATTCACTTTTCATTATATGTATCATCATAAACATGAAAACTTCGAGGTCCCATCAATTAATCAACTGAATATGGATTGATCATGCTATAGTCTGATGAAATATGCCCTCCGAGGATAAGTGGACCTAGAGCATAAAAGAAGTTGGTAGTTCATCACTTTTAAATTCTAATACATTCACGGTTTAATTCTATACTTGAACTAAAGGGAAATTACACCTTCTCTTAACTTTTCAACAAATCAATTTGCCTCCTAAGGTGCATCCACTTCAACTTATTCATTAGGAAATGGTCATTACAATCACACTTAGACAGTTATATAATACCAAGAATTTCTGACTAAAGAATAAGCCTCACATAGACAAAGCAAAACCAAGAAACCAAAAATAATCCAATCCAAAACCCAAATAAATTAGACAGTTTGAAACAATTAAATAGTCATCCATGCATTTCTTCCAATTAGAGCAGAATGGAGATAAAAAATATGATCTGATATTAAAGTAAGAAGCATTTTCTGTTTACTGTATCATATATCTAGGACACTTGGAATAGAGTTCATATCTAGTTTAATAGTCAAACACGGGTACAACAAAAATAATTGAACTTGGATATTTATTCCTCACTTTTGATCTCAGCCCACATTATTTCTAAACAAAGAACAATGGAGAGAAGACACCAAACCTTGTTCAAACAGTCACACAAATTTCTCTTTTCTTCTCATTACATGAAACAACCACCGGTATATACAGTATTATCTCACCCTCCCTCAAAAGCCTATAAATTGAAACTATTAGATTGATTTACACAGACACATATTAGACGCAATCAATCAGATTTACAAGTCCATTCACTTGCACCAAGCAATGAGCTTTCATTGAAGCCTTTATTTTTTCTCCTACTTTCTAAATTATTTCGTTCCCCAACCGTAGATCTCTCAAGCCCTTATCACCTGATCGCAATGTCTGCAACATCAAGAGTAAATCCAGCATTCCTATTAAAGACTATATAACTGAGTTATTATGAAAAAAGTGTCATCTCATATTTTTCACCTCATACACTCGTACTGTCACCCCACATAACTCACAAAAGCTTCATTCATCTATTGCCTAACATAAACACCAAAAAACAAATGCTAATCAAAGTGCAACAGTAAAGAAGAAAGCTCTTAACGAATAAAGAATTTCTACTCACAGAGCCAAGGAAATGCAATTTTCTACTCAATTGGCCTGAAACACAACATTTTAGTAAAGGTGTGACATTCTTTATTTTTTTCTGCATATATGAAGAGTAATACATTTTCAAAATATTGTGCTTCTCTTCTCCTTAGTTTTCTCATATAGCATATAGGGATAATTGGAACCAACCTAACATAGAATTGCCTACTTATACTCAATCTAATAGATATCAGAAAATCCCTTTTAAAACCTAAATACTAAATTAAAACATGATCAATATATCTTACCTTGTCAACCCCACCACTACCACTGCCACCACTATTTCTTTGTTTAACATCCACTGATATCCTTAAAGATCCTCAAGACAAGTGAAAATATAAAGTCAAACATAAGAACATAGAGTCTGAAAAAAATTAATTCAAGAACCAATTTTATAGGTCGCTGGGAGGACCCTTTTATTATACGAGTTGAACAAATATTATTCCGTTATGAAAACAATACAGTAATCTCCACTATCAAATCGTATCAAACGAAAGAGAACAGAAAAAAAAAAAAAAAAAAATTATTGTGCAACCTTCGCAAACCTTGAAATTGTGAGAATCAATTCACAAAATCAATGTAAAATTAAAGAACTTCATTTAAACCATAAGGGTCAGTCGCGGATGGCAAACCAACCAAGTAGTTCAAGATTACTTGGGATATCTTCTTGGTTTGGGATGTCCTAAGTACCAACCTCCATCCAAGGCTAAGTAGCAGATGTAGAGGAGGAATCTTCCTCCTGCAACAAAAAGGTGCAAATTGAACTTTGTTAGAAACAAATAGATTAGAGGTAGGCATATAATCAATGGGTTAAACGTGTGGAGTGACATGGATTGAATTCATAGCAGCAAGATATTCATAATAGAAAACCACCACTTCAGTTTAATTCATAGCACCAACAAATTCAACCCGCCATTTGAACTTTACCAAACTATCCGATAGGCAATGCACACAATAGAAAACCACCACCAACATCACATCCATCAACAGAACCGCCGACACACCCATAAACAAATGAGTGCTTTGGACCATGAGACATTGATTGTACTAAACAAATTAAGTTTTGGACCTAGAAATGAAAAAAAAAAGGAACAAACAACAATACTAAAAAAATAAAGAAAGATGAAGATAAATAGTAGGTTAAGGGAAATAAAAATAAAAAAAAAGAAAAAAAGTTTGTACTTGCAGGCTTGTAGCGGTTCACCAACTAAGGGAGGGAAAAGTAGAACAAATTGTGCTCTAGAACAAAATCTTCCATTATGGTAATTTAACAAAACCATTACGGTAACTTGATCTTCTATTCTTACAATTGTTGACTAACTTGAATTGTGTTGTTAAATGGTAAGAGATAAGAAACTTTAGAAAGCAATAATATTCTTGTTTGCAACTTTATTTCCATAAAATGGAAAAATTAAAAATGTATACCTTTCATCTACCAAAGAGAGAGACCGATCAAGCATACCCATTGCTCCAAATCACAACCGATCGCAGCATACCATCGCTCCACACAATGCCTAGATTTAAAAAAAACAAACACTTGTGCATCATATATACAATATACATAAAATAAAAAAAAATAAAAAAGCTACCACATAGACTTGAATATGATCCTAAAATGTTAAAAAAAAAAAGTTGGAAGCAAACTAATTGAATGGTAGCCGAAGAGAAAACTTTAGATGTAATCTAAAACAACTCATAAACTCACCATTGGGAAAACATAGTTGAAAGGCAACTACGTGCAAGTAAAAGGCCTGCTTATCGAATCACGAACACTTGAAATTTGCCACAATAAAGAAACAAAATAGGTAAAGCATATATGAAATTTGCCAGAACAAAGAAACAAAATAGCAATTCCACAAAACAAAATTCAGAAATTTGTAACAAAATCAAATCAATAATTTGAAATAAAATCAAAAAATTTGGAAAAGAGAGAAAACCTGATTTCATGCTGATTCATGCAAGTTCCAGAAAACGTAAGTATCGATTACATCCAAGCCTCCATCGTTTGATTTCCGAATAAGGCCAAGCAACATTTGCGCCTAAAGGTCCAGCCACATTTGTGGTTACTGCAAATAGGTAGACAAACAATATGGCAAATAAATCATTAAAAAGGTATGAAATGAATCTTTAAGAATTTATCTTTTGAATTCCCAAGAAAAATTGGCATATTTATCTAGCTACACCCATTATTCAAATATAAATACACATTTTTTAACCTACATAGTGAACGTACTGACAATAAATTAAGCAAAGAAAGATGAAGCATAAGATACAAATTTTCAATAATAATACAATACAACTACTCATTATTGACAAACGAACCAACCTGTTTGGACCTAACTCTTTCAATTTCATTTCCAAACCACCCAACAATGCAAACCTCCAAAACTCCTAATAGTAAACACACCCCATAAAACATCAAGAACCAGCAGCACAACCTTCCTCAAGTTTAATTTAATTCAATTTTCTAAAATAAATTAAAATTGAATTAAATTTTGAAGTGAAAATAGATTCAAAATTGGTTATATCTTATTATTATAGATTTAGTTATGGTAAAATTGAGGCAAAAAAAAAAACAAGGTTATGCCAAAAAAATAAATTGGTTAGACACAGATTGATAACACGCCACATCAGTGGTTGGAGTTAATGTAGAAAAAGCAATCAAACAAAAAAAAAAGAAGATACAAATACGATCTCATCATAAGTTGCAAACCTGCTATTAAAATTCCCAAAATCAATTTGATTCCATACAATTTTAGCCAAATTTTCCTGAGAAATATACAAATCAACAAAAAAAAATAAAACTAACATTTTGTATGCAAAATTCGGCTAAGCCAATGAGATTAAAAAGCAATTGCAATTATGAAGGACACAGTTTGTAGGCAAAAATAATTGAGGTAAAACTAAAATTGAAAAACAACTTTTTAGTTTGAGAATTTGGATATACTAGTATTTATTAGATATTATATTTATGCAATATTAGATAACTCACTTAATTTTCAACATCAACGCAGTTAATTGAAAAATATTTTTTGAACCAACAATTAAGTTGATTGATCAAAAATAAAATTTGAAGATCTAGTTTAAATACTTCCATGTAATCATAATATTGTCTAAATATATTAATAACTCAATCTTGTTAATAAACAATCAAACAATTATACAAAGTAAGAAAGTTTTCTAAAAATATTCAATCAATCGGATAAAAGAAAGATGTATCATTAAAACTAAAATATAATTGCATAAAAATAAATATTTGGATAAATACTTATAAATCCGTTAAAAATCCAGAAGTGTTGGCTTATGGTAGTCAAGTGCTATTTTCTCTTTGATATTTTGTCAATCATCTAGTATTCAAAAAAAAAAAGAAAAAGGCAAGGGTTGCATGGTTTAATAACAAGGGTTATTAGTTTTATGTGTGGGTGTAGGTGTGAGTGTTCTATACAGATGTACACATAATACTTATACACACCTACAATAAAAGACACAAAAATAATCCTCAAGAGACATATAACTCAAATTGACTAAATCAGTAGATCATAGATATTTGTTAAATCCACAAATTCATTCTATTTAAAAAATGTCAAAATTAGATAAATATAAATGTATAAGGTCTCCAATTTTTCACCCGTTTATCCTAAACTTAAACTAATCCAAGTAGACCCACATTAATCAACTTTAAAACCAACACATGACATAAGATTTAAATAATCAAGTAGAACCACATTAACAAACTACAAAACCAATACATTTTAATTAGGATTTAAATAGCCTAAAAAATTGTTATAGTATCAAATTTCACTATTTTCAAGCAAATCCACATTAATCTACTTCAAAAGTAATCGGTTGACAGGAGAAATCAATATGTATAGACAACACTTGATCAAAGATTTTATTTCAATTTCATTAACAAACCTTAACTAATTAAAAATTTCTAGTCTTTTGAAAATTACCTAGATATTCTCAAAAAAAAAAAATACCTAGCACCATGAGAGTGTCGAGTGGACACGGTTGCTGCTTGAATTCAATCACCACCTAAATAACACCAAATAAAACATAAACAAAGAAACTATAATTAAGTCAATTTTTCAGGATCAGAAGATCTATAATATACCTAATGTAATCTACAGGAACACAAAATGTTGATACGTATTTAGCCCGAAAAAATGTTGAAAATATGAAATATTCTATTTAACTCGAAGAAGAAAAATATAACCCCTTTAATTAGGATTTTAACAATTCTTTTTTTTTTTTTTCGGGTTTTACAGAGGGTATAGAAAAAACACATAAGAAACATTCCCTTTTGTTAACTCGAGCTAGCTAAAATAAAAAATAAATGAAAAAACTAATTAGGCCAAGAGTGAAAAGCAAGCAAACAACCCGAATATTAGGCGGGGACCAACAATACTACCATTGATGAATCTTAAAGGAAATGAATCTTTGACCAAGACACCCATAGATGAACCATAATCAGCATACTGGACCTTGTAGTCACATTGCTCGTCAGGGGTTTCGCAAGGGTGGTTATCAGGCAGTGAAGAGAACCATAGAGAGGATCCTTACATGTGACAACGTTTTTGTTTGGCTTGTAAAGAGTGTGAGGGGCCTGCACACACAAACACACGGAGGTTATGGACTATGGGCAGTAGTTTTAGGCTGATTTTGCATGTATGGGAAAAAAAATGAAGAATTGACAATTACTGGAGTGCATTTGGTACAAGGTGCATCACACTGAAGCCAGTCGAGGTCACTGCCAGTGTCCATATCAAGAAAGTAAGGTTTGGATGGGTGGCCTATGTTAAGTGTCACTTGATAGTACCTGCATAAAGAAAGAACATTGAACAACTAACTTTATAACACAGCACACAAAATGGATTCCGCTCAAATACCATGAATTTCGATCATAACTGAAAAGAGAAGGAGCAAAAAATGTAAATGGTACTAAACATATTTATTATAGCAGTTAGAGCCCAAGTAGCAATTGACATACTGAGGCAAAGTGCCAAAGAAGCTACGGGAGGATGTACAAAAGAGAGCAAATGATGATACATCAAAAAGCAGGATGCATACAGGATGGGCAACTGCCCTCTAAGGTTTGAAAATTCCCTTAAAATTACATTCCATTTGCTACAGAACTACAATTGTAAATTTTACAGTTGTCCCAATTTTTTTCACTTGAAAACAGTTGTCTATAGGGTTTTCCGACCTATACCTCATTTCCTGATGGATTCCAAGAAATGGGTTGCAAGAAAATACTCTTTTTGTAATAAAAGGTAAAAGAACTACAGAGTGCAATTGGATCTCGAAGAAGCTTTTCAAGGAAAAAAGGATTTACTGAATGAGCAATGGTATGCTTCTCAAAACATATCCCAAATTCTCCATCCCAAATGCCTATGCACCACAATATTATCTTGTGGGGCCCAAAAAATTAGCTTTTTCATCTAATGTATAGTGCAAAAGCATTTGGAATATGCTTTGGGAAGCATAACATTTCTCTTACTAAACAATAGCAAGAAGGAATCAAGGTAATATGTATCCCAAATGCTTCTACATACGAACACACATCAACCCCCAAAAAAACACACAGAGAGAGAGAGAGAGAGGCTCACAAAAACAATAGTTAGAAAAAGGTGCAGACAAAAGGTGATCAGAGAATTAGAATGTATGGTTTGAGGAAAAAAAGAAATATTAAGTAGACCATTTATGCAGAAAATTTCAAAAGAAACACAAAAGGTCATGAAGATTCCCCATGAATAGCTAGAAATCAAGGTCACACGAAAAAGGCTAGGAGTCTCACATAAATAAATTTCAGGTAATTGAAGGAAAGTCGACATAATCCAAAAACATACCAAGAATCTTCCCAGTAAACAAACATAAAATTCATAAAAACCCAAAATCTCCCAAGAAACCCACAATCGAAGAGAGCACGCAAACCCCAAAACCATAGGCTAATCAAACACCAAAACAATACATGTATACAAATATACCCACTGATAAGAGAAAACCCATCAAGATCACATTTACCAAATCTAAAGAAAACCCACAAATAAAATGACATATACCCTTTGGTATAGACATTCCCAGTGACAGGGAAGACCACAGAGGATCCAAATCGATCGTCGGTGGCCGTTTATTTGGATTGTTTCTTGATCCTCTGAGGTGGATTAGAAGCTGAATAACAGCTTTGTAGTGTTGCACACAACACCAGAGAGGCAGAGGCAACCAAAGAGGGAGGGTAGGAGTTAAGAGAAAAGAAGAGAGAGTGAGACGAAGAGTACCTCGTGTGGCGTCACCTTGGGGACAGGCTGGCGGTGCCTGGATGTGAGAGAAGATGGTGTCCCTTCTCTCTTTTATATGATGTTTAAATGATTATATTAATTAATTATCCATTTTAAAATTTAAGTTTAAATTATTAGAAACCCTGTAACTTAAATATTTATATTTTAACTTAAATATATATAATAAAGTACAATACAATTCAAATCTTAAAAAAAAAAAATGACTTTTACAATTTGCGTTTGAAATTGTTTGAAATTTTATTTTAAAGTTAATTGAATAACTAATATTAATACCTCAAATTTAATATGAAAAAAATGACCTAAGAGTGTGTTTTGAGTGACTTTTTAAAAATATATTTAGAAATTATTTCTAATAAATATTTTTTTAAAAAAATAGTATTTGCAACCATCCCACCACCCCCATCGCCCCACCACCATCACTATCGCCACCCTATCATACCCACCACCCGACCACCACCGTCGTTTCCACCATCTTATCATTACTATCACCACTTTCATTGCCCCACCATCATCGCTCACCATTACCACCACGCACCATCACCCCCCATGACCATCACAACTACTACCACCATCGCAACTGCCCCACCTCCACCCTCACCTCACCCTCATTGCCCCTCCGCCACCACTACCATCATGGCCACCTATCACCGATTGCTAATCTCGTCGTTCATGACTATCACCCACCACCATTATCATCTTATTCTTATATTTATTATCATTACCACCATTATTCTACTATCACCGTCGCTCACATTCAACACCCATCACCACCAGTCACTGTCACCTACCCTACCACACCTATCACCACTAACCACTATCACCGGTCATCACCCACCATTGCAACCACCTACTATCACATACCCCCACCACGCTTACCACTGCCGATATTTGTCACCATCCATCACACTGTCGCCTAGAAACACGCATCATGGCCTACCGCCACCACCGTCGTCGTCCCACCATCACCACTGCCAACCACCATTACCGTCGTCCACCACCGTTGCCACTCACAATTGTTATTGTCATTGTTACCTAAATTATTTTTATTAATATTTTATATGTAAAAATTATTCACGTGTAATGCACATATTATGCATTAGTATTAGATAGATGGATGCAATTTATCCTTTCAGGGTCGATTAAATTGAAAGAGGTGGTACAAGCTTTTGTTTACTGAATATTCATTCACTTAAGCTTGCTCGTTGGTTGAAAACCATGAACTTATTATATTTATGGAGAAGTGAACGGTACCGAAATATATATAGTTTTTTGGTGCCATATTATCATTACGATTATTATGGATATTTTTATAATTTATATATATATATATATATATATATATATATATATATATATATATATATATATATTTATTATTTATGTTGCAGTGTTACGATCCAAAAGTGATAAAGGAGCTGTAGCCTTCCCAATATTTAAAGGAGCTGTCAGCCGTGTTCATCACCCTCCTCCATGTGAAATTAGACTTGAACCACAGGTAGAGGGAGGATTTTGGGGGTTATCAAATAATATATAGTGCAATACAGTTAAAATAAGGTATTATAAGAAGAAAAAAATAGATATCTCAGAAACAATTCAGTTTATCAACAGATTCTTTAGTCTCTATTTTTCCATTTTCATTTAGCTGGTTTATGATTGTTATAGGATAACAAGATGGATAGAAATCCTTTATTTTTTCAACCCAATCGCTCTGATTTTGGGAAAAAAATTATTTTTCTTTAGCAATATTAATGAATGTTTTTATAATTTTTTGTAAGGACCATTTTATAATATTTTTTTTCACTTTTGAGAATGTTTTTATCATTGTTATGAGTGTTTTTACCATATTTATAGTAATTATTTTTATCACTTTTCTTCAATACAAAAAAAAAATTATTATTTTTATGAGTAATTTATCACATTTGTTGTTATTTGTATCACATTTGTAAATATTTGTGTCATTGTTATAATAATTATTTTTATCATTTTTTTTGGTATCATAGCAATGGTAAAAGCACCATAAATATGATAAATAGGGTATGATACCAATTTTTTTTTCCAATACTGTAGTCAACTCCTTGAGTTTGTGAATAAGACCATTATAACTGTTCAAAAAAGGAATAAGATCATTATAGAATTAGGATTTTCTTCTTTCTAATCCACCCAATATTAGTCTCTCACAAAAATAAAAGTTACACTCGATCAACATTCTCGCAAAATAAATTCAAAAATCATTGAATTTTATTGATGGGATGTTTTCGTAATCAAGGAACAAGCGACACATGATGTCGACGTCATTGGCTCACCTAGGCATATTGCCTCGGAGTGTTTGGGTTACCTTGGCAACCCAACTCTATCTCGACTCTAAGAAAGGTAACCTCAACGTGTTTCTCCCCTTTTGTCGTTGTCCACCCAACCTCGACATATAGGCAAACACGCCGACGTGAGGTGAATATTCTCCCCAACATCAGTCCCCGCCAAAAGATTAGCTTCAATCTCAAGGCAAATAGGGAAAGATCAATTGATGCAAACATGCCCGTGATCGAGATAAATCAACTTCTAAGCATCATGATTTGGGAGCGGAGTTGACTATCAGTCATTGGTCCCCCTCTCAAAGGCAATCAAAATGTTTAGAAAGACAGTTGAATGCCCTATGATAAAGGCATATGATATGCGGGATAATTAATTCCTGACGTCTTGAAGGGAGATTAACAAAAATACCCCTGCATGTGTATACCCATGCCCAAGGCACATTAAATGATTCTATAGAAGTGTGATATGTATTCATTGCTTAGTGGAGTCAAGAAGTGTGCATTAAATACTTAGGGACCCAAGTGTAGATCTGCAGAAGCTTATAGTGTATGAAGAAGATAGCACTCTGATCGATGTCTGTACACCAGATGTTGTCCTCTATATGAACCAACTAGGTGTCTTCCCTCCAAGGAGACCCAGTTGTTCGTCTTGATCAACTCCTAAAAGGTATAAATAACACCCTCAAGCTCAAAGTTCAGGTCTATACAAACCAACTAGGTGTCTTCCCTCCAAGGAGACCCAACTGTTCGTCTTGATCAACTTTTGAAAGGTATAAATAACACCCTCAAGCTCAAAACTTAGGTACACAACCCTTCGCCCCAAGCAATAAGGTAGTGTTCTCAAACCATCTAACAAATACTAACTTGAGCGTTTGAGAGATCACGCCAGAGAACACTTTGATACCCTTCTAACTTTTCTTTTTTGAGTGATAGGACTTTGTTCGAGAGTTTACCCCGTGGGTTGATCGTTTGTAGAGGGTTCATCCACTGTTTACTATTTTTCTTCCTTAAGGCCCTACTTATATCCCCATAGTTGTTCATTGTGAGAAACGCAAGAGGGGTTTTCATCGAATCAACTTTTCAGGCAGACTCGAGTTCAACAAAGGAAAGATCTGTCATCTCATTTATTATGCGAAAATCATCTCACACATTTACAATAATTCATATAATACTCTATCCTAAAATGAAAAATTGACACATTTTTTTTCATCATATAATATCAATTGAATAAGTTTGCCTCACCCGTACATTTTCAACACTAATTTTACTTATTTTGTTAATGGATTATTCTAGCCTATTATTATTATTTTTGGTCAGACATTATTACAGAAGAAGGGAACGATGAGGTTTGAACTCACAACTTTCAAGTCTAATAGTAAGACGGTGGTCATTAGGCTAGTCTCTAACTTCATTTAAGCCCATTAATTGAGCCTAAAATTCAGTCCACTTAATCAATAGTTAATTATGCTAGGCCCCTCATTTAGTGTGTAAATTAATTTTAATTCTACGTATTTTTTTAGTATTAAAAAGGTCTTTCGATTTTTGAAAAAACTTGTATGTGGTGTCTATGTTGGCGCGAATGTTAAGGAACGTGAATGTTAAGGAATTG